GGCCGTTTGGTTTGGTTTGTTTACGTTTTGTATTTGGTAAGTCTAGCCACCGAAACCGTACAGAGTACGGCCCTGGCGTTTCAAAGCATAGACGACATCCATGGCGGTGACGGTCTTTCTCTTGGCATGCTCGGTGTAGGTGACGGCATCACGGATGACATTCTCCAAGAAAACCTTTAACACACCACGGGTTTCTTCGTAGATGAGACCAGAGATACGCTTCACACCACCACGACGTGCAAGACGACGGATAGCTGGCTTGGTGATACCTTGGATATTATCACGAAGAACTTTACGATGACGCTTGGCGCCTCCTTTTCCCAAACCCTTTCCTCCTTTACCACGACCAGACATAGTTACTGAATTATAGAAGTAAATTCAACTGCCGAATACGCCGAGTCTCCCCGTATTTATTCCCTTGTTGCGAACGTCAAAGAAAACATGATATTCGGCCTTGGGACTGTGAAGTAGGATTTCCGTACCGCATATTCTGACGGCCTTCGTTAGGTTTCATTCGAACCGTTCTCACTACTGATTGGATATATTTAAGAATTATCTCGTCCAATAGAATCACTTGTAATGGGGTCAATACACTATCATAACTCAGGACTTCACGAAGTATACATTGATTTGTTATGTTTGCCCATGTAAATAAATGCCAAAAATATGTAATCATTGTTTAGCTCCATGGTTTAACGAACTAGACTACTGGTGCACAGCCTGGACACATTTTTATAGAAATATTTATTTGTAATCCCATAACATTTCAAATGTGTCTGTAAACAGACAATGCTACCGCAAATAGAGTTTACCATGATCATAAGCAGTTACAGTCCGTTGGTCGTATTTGTTTACAATAGAACCCGCCTTTTCTTGGTTTCCAGAGTTTCGTCGTCATGGCCCTACAAGAAACCAACGGACATGGGAAAACGATAAGGTGTTATAAGCAAACTTGTCGAAAACGCGGGAATATAACTCTTGCCAAGCACAATGTCCGTAATTATAGGTAGGTATATAGAAGGACTGTGGCAATAGTGATATTTAAATTCGAATAAATAAATGGTCCCGTGTATATATGTAGTGAGATTTGTTATTTGACAGAAACGGGATGATCTTGCTTCAAGGTCACCTATATGTGTTTGCCACAACAACACTCTCGGTTCAATGTAGAAAAATACAATTTGAAATATTATTTTGAAAAAAAAGCTATGGTACGACAATATACGATGAAGTTCTGATGTGAGGTTGTCCATGTAACTTGTTATTGCAATTTAAATGTTCGTTCTCTGTTCTATGCATTTGTTTATGATGGTCTAAACCATTCATATCCCTTGGAAGGGAGAATATTCTTCGATAACCTGTTCACTTCGTTGATTCCCTAGTTCAAACATGTCGGTGGAATCGTAAGGCTACGTGGATTTGGATTTCTTCCATTATTTTAAAAGCAAATTGCCAAACAAACTGAAACACTATTTCGCCCGAAGTGTGAACTACGCCCTCGACGGAGAAAGAACCCTGGTAATTGCTATTGTTTTCTATTCAAGTTATAGTCATTCAAGAAACAATTCTCAAGAAATTCAATTAGCGACGTCTACAACAGAAGTGTCAGTTTGCTTAGAACTATACGCTACCACATTCACAAGTTTCTAATAAAACAGCTTGTATAGCGCAAAAATTTCTTCCCACGGTAACGTTCCATTGTCTTTTTCCCGCTAAAACAAGTCACACAATAAAATGCGTTACTAATACCAATTCATTGGATACCGTTTTAGTGAATACATACTAGGTTCCAATAAGTACAAATATTCGAAAGCAAATAATGAGAAAAGGCCCAATCTCGAGAAAATATTGGAATTATTGGCCCGCCTTTTACATATTTATATACTAATATTTGCTAATATCTCGCGTGTTGGTCAATTTACATCTCTGTCAATTCGTTCATCATTTTTTTGCATCATTGAGGCTCCTCAACTCCAAGCTTTTGAGTATCATAATGACGTAAAAGAAACGTGTATATTCTTTCAGTCTAATTACGGTTGTCTGAGCTCATAGCCTGAAATTCGTCAGAGACGACGTACACCGGTGACTGAATATTGAATGCGATATTTATACATCGGATTTCTAAAGAGCTGTGGTCGACGTGTTCGATATGGGTCTCATTTGTTTTCCGGCGGATTCGAACACGAACCGATCGACGACCACCTTTCATTGGGTGTTATTGCATTTCGAGACCACCGTACGACAAACTAAACACAATATAATGTAATTTGCGAATGTTCTTTTCTTCATTTCGCTTAGTTACCATTCATTCAAATTATTGTCACTTTTGCCATCTACGTTTTGAGATTTACACATTTATGATGAAAATCTGCAACCAATATATGCGCTTAACGGTACAATTTTGTTGGGATCGAAAGTGTACACAGTTTGTCATGAGAACCCCATACACACTCAGAACCCATAAATTTGCAATTTGTACGAATTTCGTAATTTCAAAGCATAATAACATAAAACATGTATTGTTGTTTGATGCAACATGTTGGACAACTTTACGCACTATCAATTGTGTTCTTCGAAGAGCTAATGCATGCACGGGGAATGTACGTGCAAATTGAAGCATATCGTCGAACGAATATTGTGCTGCAAAAACATTTTTTTTTAATTCTTGCTAAATCATAATCAGCACGACTGTAAACAGGTCTTGAACTTGCCCTTTGCATGCAAGGATGTGAATTTCCATTCAGACGCGTTACCAAGTTTGAGCCGAGTGGGTACTGTACGGATTTAACTGAGGTACCATTATGAAATGTACATTATTTTTGTCAAGGAATGATTTTAACAACTGGCAACCTTATTCTGAATTAAACGTCTCTCAGTCAATGAAATGTACATTCACGCTCATTCTATCCCAGGCCACTGTGATTTGAGATTTTATGGATGGTTACACATGGAGCTAAAAACAGACCTTTGTAGCCCCATGGGTCGAGATAAATGCATTTGATTCACAAAATGTACCAGAGAACAACTTCAAGTTTAGTTACGCTTTTATGTTATGTTTACTCCTAATGTATGCTAACTATAATCCAGGTTGTTTCTTGCAATCTCATCTCATTTCGAAAGCAACCCCAGATTATAATAGCGCCCTCAACTTTCTTTCGTCGTTTTGAAAATTTTACCCTGACGAATTTGAAGGCGATAATTTATTTGTATTTGCAAGTCTATCGGGGAATTATATTTCAGTGAAGTGAACTACCTTCTTTCGAGTATACTTTCTATAGCTTGATAATTGATTGTTGTTATCGTGAACTGACTGGTATTGTGTAGTGTTGATGTTACGGCAGTTCTCTTTTTGGAGGATGTGGTGGCCCTGAAAAGGACCGTTTGGTTTGTGTACGCTAGGCATACAATTTACTTGGAGCTGGTGTACTTGGTGACGGCTTTGGTTCCTTCACTGACTGCGTGCTTGGCGAGCTCACCAGGCAACAAGAGACGGACGGCTGTCTGGATCTCTCTGCTGGTGATGGTTCTACGCTTGTTGTAGTGAGCCAAACGGGAAGCTTCTGATGCGATACGCTCGAAGATATCGTTGACGAAGCTGTTCATGATGGACATGGCTTTGGAAGAGACACCGGTGTCTGGGTGAACTTGCTTCAACACCTTGTAGATGTAGATACCGTAGGATTCTTTCCTTCCCCTCCTTCTCTTCTTCTTGTCACCACCACGAGCGGCGGCCTTAGCCTTACCGCCTTTCTTTGCTGCTTTACCGCTTGCTTTGGGAGGCATGTTGAACGTCAGAAATAATGTTCAGAATAACTGTAACCGTCAAAGGTCCCATTATATATAGTGAATGAAATGCAAATGAAGGATTCGGCAAGCAAGGCGGGAAACATAACGAACGCAAGAGAAAACACGATTTAAGTACGTTGTACACTTATATTACATTGTGCATCGACTATTGACCCTTGACAATATACAACCAAGGTCGTGCTTTGCCGTATTTTGATTGGTGGAGGTACTATACAGCCAGAATCCGAGCGGGAAGTATAAATACTGACAGTAAACTGCCAAATGCCTATAGTTTTCTCGACGAGCTAAACTGATAATTCAATATGTCTGGTCGTGGTAAAGGAGGCAAAGCAAAAGGCAAGTCCAAGACTCGTTCCAACCGTGCTGGTCTGCAGTTCCCAGTTGGTCGTGTACACCGTTTCCTGAGAAAGGGCAACTATGCCGAGCGTGTCGGCGCCGGTGCCCCAGTCTACTTGGCTGCCGTACTCGAGTACTTAGCCGCTGAAATCCTCGAATTGGCCGGTAACGCCGCCCGTGACAACAAGAAGTCTAGGATCATCCCACGTCACTTGCAGTTGGCTGTCCGTAACGACGAGGAATTGAACAAACTGATGTCCGGTGTAACCATCGCACAAGGTGGTGTACTGCCTAACATCCAGGCTGTACTTCTGCCCAAGAAATCCCACGCCAAATCCAAGTAAATTGTAAGCCTTGGCGTACTCAAACCAAACGGCCCTTTTCAGGGCCACCACATCCTCCAAAAAGAAAACTACCGTAAATGTGCGTGTACCATGGATCTATCTAGGGAATTTGTTCTGTATACTCATCCTAAATCTATTTTATCGTCGATCGGAAAAATCGATTTTCGATTGACAAAAAGAAAAACAAAGTGTACTATGTCAACAACCACAGTGTCATTTCTCAATATTTCATGAACTAGGTTTCATTCTTTGCTGCTACGCTCTTGTCACTTATGGCGCTCGGTGATGTTCCCTTTGTTAAATCAACGCCGAGAGCATTTTAACAAGGCACGTTCTTGTAATAACTTTTACCGTAAACATGCTTACATGCTTTCCGAATTCATGGAATCTTTGCATTATTACCACAATTCATAAAAAGTCAACAACAACAACATCATTATTAATGAACAAACTGGCTTCATGGTACAACCCAGCGCTTCAGATCACTTATTTGTCTCAAACAATTTCTTAAAAACATGTGTCTGAAAGTTTAATTGATTTCATTAAAGCATTTGACCCCATTCGGCATCTTGGTTTGCTATATAAAATTCAAAAAATAACAAATTCTTTAATTTAATCTCATCAATTTCTCGACTCGGACTAAAGAAAGGCCTAACCAATTAGTATGAGTATTATGTAAGCATGTCAAATAATGATCCACCGTTGCTTCTAACCGTCACCTTTCTTATTTATTGTTTGGACTATTTTTGCCAGTGGTGGTGCCGACAAGAGTCGCACTGAGCAAGTGAACAAGTTAAGTTAAGTTTCACCAGACATTCTGACAGTCTATGATTGTGTTACGTGTTTGTCCATGGGATATAACATGTTTTATTAACATCTGATAATACCATATCTTAGTTTACTACTTATATTTATAGCGTGTATGCTTTGATATTATTGTGTTTGATGAGCGAGTGGGATATAGTCTGGGACTTCGCAATGTGCCTGCAGTTTTGTGGAATCGTAATAAGTGTGAATTTAACTGATAATATTTTCCATAAGATCGCCCTTTTGTGTAAAAATGATCTTGGTGTGTTTCCTGCTTGTGCCAGGTATTTCTGATATTCTTCTACTCCTTTCGAAGTCAAATACAAAACGCCATACTGTAATGATTACATAATACA